GGTGGGTGGGGGAATCCTAGGAGTTGTGACTCCCCCCCCCAAAAAAAAAATTTAATTTTCCATGCTGTAGCCCCCCCACTGTGTTCCAAGGAACACCTGACTATTCTGGAAATGTGTAAGGAATGTTGGCATGGGATGAATTATATACCAAATGTTGTTTCACATGGATGGAGTAATTTATAACAAGGTGACCAACTTTGTAAAGAATGTTGAAATAAAGCAAGTTATTTTTAACGATTGTGGCTCTGTGGAAACTTCTCAGTGGGAGATGAGCAGGGGGAGCAAAGCTATTTCACATTTCACATTTTACGATCTGGGATGTTCAGAGCGTGCCGTGCTTTTGAAAGAGGGCAGACACGGAAGGGGTGCATTGCTAACATCTGCACTATTTCTTGTTTATCTCATGGGTGTGCTGGGCTTGGAGCAACGTCTGGAAAAGTACATTTTGAAGAATGAGTGGGAAGAATTGAACCATCCTTTGCTTGCTAACGATGCAAAAGTGATCGCAGCTACTCCTTTAAGTGACTGTTTTTAAAAAAAAAAAAATCAGAATGCTCCACTCATCTGGATTCTGATGGGAAACACTTCCATGCGTGACCTTGTAATTATAAAAGTATCTGAAAATCCTTGACCTGCAAGAGCAGAACATTTACTCCCTGTTATAATACAAGGGAAGCCACAGATTTCAGTTTGCAACTGCTGGGCCAGCTGCACAGTCTCAGAGCTGCCCGCAGAAGAAGGGAAGATGGGAACCCCCTTCGGTGTTTTCTCTACCTAGAAATCCCTGGAAAAGGGTCGCCATAACTCCCACTTGACTTGATGCCACATGATTATGCTTTCTTAATAATGCCACCAAGCTACGGGGATGCACATTTTGTTTTACTTCTCAATAACCTTCTTGCAGATCATTTCAGAGTCTTTTTTCCCCTCCTCCACTGTTTCTCTAAAGCTACATCACTCCTGCCAAACTGTAATGGAAAAACATTTCTGGTTGCAGGCAGGATGGGGATTTCTTTGGTGGCTTCCAGTAACCAAGATGTTTTGCTCTGGTTTTGTAAAAGCCGTGCTGGCCTTTGGTTCCACGCAGCCAGCAGTCGGGTGTGCAGGGCTCACAGCACAGTGACGGAAGACACAAAGGGGTTTTCGACTTGGGGGTCAAAGCAACTGGTCCGTCAGCAAGTCCTCTTAGGCAAGCTCTGTTTAAATGTACAATCACAATGGAGGAATATACACTACTTAAAAGTACATGTGTTCCTGGTACTCATAACACTGCTGGAAAAGTAAACTCTAGACTGTGTTGGAAAGTTAACGCCATTACTTAAGACAGGAAGGAAGGAAGGATTATCATCGTTAAGCGAGGCACCACTGTATCTGAAAAGTGCTATTATCAAGTCTACTACACCACACTGCTATACCAACATAAACAGACACAATCCAACAGCATTTCGGAGTTCGGACAAAGTAATCACAAAAGACCATTTTAATCTTATAATTTCTGCATTTCAACCCATGAGTTGCCATCTGCTGCTTGGCAAGGCATGTCCAAAGTGGATTCTCTGAAACCAAAGGGGTTTGTCCCATAAAAGCAGTATTTCCTCCCATGAAAAAGCACCTTTTGTCCTTTGATTCTACGTAAGCCTGACTCCACCAGCCTCGCCTGATTCGAACACAGAATCATTGTGCTACTAGAGGAAGAGAAGTCCTTCCTGGGTGGCTTTTGTTCTCTGCTGTAAAAACTTGGGCAAACCCAACTGGGAAGCAGAAGCAGAAAAATCTTAAATAACTGGGAGTTACGGTCCCGTTCCCAGACCGCTCTTGAAGTCAACTCCCTGTGGGATAACCCAGGAAAGGATGCCCGGAGGGGATAAAAGTGGAAAGAGGTCACCGTTCCAATCCAAAACTATCAACACCGGATGGGTTTTATGACTCCAGCCGAAAGCAAGCCTTCCTGCGAAGGGCAAATGTTGCTTGTCGTTCACTTCCCAATCAAGGAGGTCGGTGATCAAACCAACACCGGCTCTCGCAGCTTTCCTGTGTCCCAGCCGGACGGCGAACCAGGCGTTGCCACAGTCCAAAAAGAGGATTCAGAACTTGGGGGGAAATTGACCGTGTGGTCTCCAGATTCCAAACTGGGGACTTTCACACGCACATTTTATCTTCACAAACAATCCTGTTAGGTTGGCTTATGGACCAAGCAATGGCAGCCTGCCCATGTCTACCCAGGGAATTTCATGGCAGAGAGGGGTTTTTTTGAATCCCCATCCTTCTGGTCCTTTTCTATAACTATATCTTCCTTCCTTCCTTCTTTCATCCCTCCTTCCCTCCCTCCCTCCTTTCTTTCTTTCTTTCTTTTCTTTCCTTCTTCCTTCTTTCCTCCTTCCCTCCCTTCTTTCTTTCTTTCCTTCTTTCTTTCTTTCTTTCTTTCTTTCTTTCTTTCTTTCTTTCTTTCTCTCTC